TTCATTAGCAACATTATAAATCAAAGTGTATAAAAAGTTTTTTTTCTAATTCTTAGGCTCGGTTCTTTATTTTCTTAACTTAGACATTAATTTTACTTAATGTGATAATAGAAAAATTTGTGATTTTCTAGGTATAATTAATAACGAAATAAATTATATACTAGATATAATTAATTACGAATTAAATAATTGATAATTATTCAAATTTTTGATTCTTTGTCCAATCGTTCAATCATCATTATTTTTAATAATTTATTCTGTTATTATTCAAAATATCTTTATGATTAACTATATTAACTATATAATAACTGATAATTTTACAATGGCAACTTTATAGTTATGATTTTTCATTTTCTGGTTAATTAAAAAATTGACTTCAACATATGTATATAATTTAATTTTTCATGAACAAATGACACTACACGTTTATTAAATATGTAAATCCATTTTTGTATGTAGTACAATGTGTTATTTTTACATATAAAATTAATCACATGCATGCAGGATTGGCAACTAACTTGTAATGTCGTTATCACTTTTTTTGATAACGAATGGCTAACGATGTTACATTTTTTCTGAATAACGTTCATTGTACTGTAGTTGTATTTTTGGGATAATAGTAACGATTTTACTAGTTACTTTTATCGTTACTTTATTTCTAGCTAGAAGTTTTAGTCGTAACTAGACCGTATTATATACACATATGCAATATATATACACCGATATATATTTATATATCAATTTTTGAGCTTTATTTCTCTATTAAAAGATAGAATTCTGACTTCTCTTTAGGATATTTACCGCAAAAATCTGTATATGATAACATTTTTCATTGATAGAACTATAGTGTGCACTCAATGCACACTATAGTTCTATCAATGAAAGCCGTTTAAAGCCGTTGTTCACAAATCGATATAAAGATGTATATTTAATAAAAACAGAAACGAGTTAAACCACGAAATCCTCAATACATTTTGTTATACTATTTAATAGAATATACTTTAGGCATTTTATCAATTGAGATATCTCATTTTTATATTCAGATTACAGCAGAATACAACGGCTTTAATGTGCAATGCGTTCTGTTAATGAGAAATGCAATATTTTATTAATATCAAGAAAAAAAATAACGAAAAAGTAATGACTCGTTACATTTTAACTGACGGTAATGATAACAAGTTACTTTTGCAAATCAATAATGAATAATGATAATGCGTTTTTTTTTTTAGGAAAAAAGGAACAACAGTAACGAGTGGTTTTTATGAGATAACATTATCAACTCTGCGATACATATATTGAAGTCATTTTGCATACACTTTGGTTTGAAGTGAATAGGCATGGGGAAACGAAAGCTTTTACTTCCTGTTGTTTCCGGAGTAACGCGAGAGACAGCGAAAGGTACCAATTTTACAACCGCGAACGGATGCGGATAAATAAAAAAAAATAAAAATAGATATATATAGGTCAGTATTGTATCACATGATAATAAAAGCTAGAAAATATCGATATTTGAAAATTCGGGAGCGAATATCGGTATTATTTTAGACTGAAGATCTTTTTTTGGAGCGAATTTTGATAGGTAACTGTGTAAAATAGTCGCCGATATATCGATTCGCAAAGGGTAGCTCGAACCGGAAATGATCCGCAACGGTCGACGAGTTTCACCATAAAGCGAATTTCGAAACGATTTTTTTTTTTACAAGCACGGTATAGAAAATGATGTTTTTCAGAGCGTTATACGAGCGCGTTCCCTTTCAATGTTACGATGCGACACGCGTATCCTTTATTATCGGATGATAGTAATTTACGAGAACGTAAAAGGATATTCACTCCGCTATGAACCGCGGAATGTACCTATTAGCGCTTCGATGTTTTCCTCGAGAAACAAAGACCGTTTCCGCTTTCGATTTACACGCGAACTAGGCAACTCGTTATCGTGGCAAGCACTATATATATCGCGACGAATTTGCAATTGTCACAATCTTTGCTATAACATGATAAAGGACATCAATTCTGCGAGGGATTAATGCCCGTTTCCACCACTGTGGATTAACTTTAATCTCATGTTCAATTTACTCTTCATTTTCTTCTAATTCTTAAGATCGGTTTTTTATTTTTTTAACTTGTGGTTTAGATCTCTTAATCTCACTCGATGATAGTATAAGAATTGTATATTATGTGATCACTTTCTTACGGCTTAAAGCTTAGATAACAGTTTATTGTAGAAAACTTATTAAAGTCATCCATTACAAAACCATCAGATTAGTGATTAATCATAGCTAGAAAAACAAAATTTTTGTCAAAGCTGATATCATTTATGACGCGATGATCGTGCATATTGTTACCTGAAGCGAAAGAGATAAGAAACTCTTAGAAAATTAGTTTCAGGAGGACATATATATAATTCGAACAAAATTTATCAGACGCACTCCTCCGAGCAGATTAATCGCGTCGCAATCGATTCCGATCTTCTGGGAAACTCGTTACAGGCTGATATTCCCGTGTTTCGTGAATTCATTAAAACTGGCGCTTACGTTTACGTAACTGATCGTGACGCACTTTAGATGTTCAATCCGTCGCTGTGTGTAAATTGCTGTTCACTGATGGTGTCTGACGCTGCGAATTATATTCCCTATTCGTCAAAACTTCAAACGTCGGAATATTTCAATAACTAGTTTGGCTTTACACGGTTTACGTGTCGGGGATTAAAGGGAATACTTTTCCTTTTGCACTCATCGATTGAATTCCGTTTAATATTCGTAAAATCCTATGTACTGCTACCAATCGGCCTCCATTAACCTCGAGCGAGTGTTCACAATGACAGCGCAATTTTACACGCGAAAAATTGCCAATCTTGCTCCGATTAGCGATTTCTTCTGATTCCGCGTTGCACGTTGTATAAACGTATTCCATTATTACAAATATAATGAGGTTAAATATTATTTTAACAATATTTTGATTGCATGTCCAAAGTGCATGGATTATACCAAGTGTGATATTTTAAAACGTTTCGAAAAATTTTCACTCTTGTTATCGTAACAGAATATTCCTCTATTCTGATTTTAATAGTGGAAATATTAGCAATAATTGTAATGGAAAATTATTTTGAAAATTACACCAATTTAGGTGAGTGCATTCCATGATTCATCATTTAATCGGACGACTCCGCGGAAATTTCGCCGTGTCCTCTCGACCGTGTTGACGCAGTACTTCGTTTCCGGTAAAGTAAGGGCTCTTCGAAAGAGCCGGATTGCATTTGCACGATTCGAACGGCGACCCGTACTTTCACTCGATCGCTTATACCCCGTCAGCACGGTGAGCCCTCGCCGCCGTAAACGCGAAGAGGAGAACGTCAGGGACGCGGAGCGGCGCGACGCGAGAAGGGAGGTGAGACTCCGAGCAGAAGGAGAAACGCGAGAAGAGGAAGCACACACGTACGGACGTACGCACGTACTTATATATACGAAGAAACGAACGAAACGAGTGGGCGCTCGCGAGTCCGGGGAGAGGTTTAGTGACCTCGGCGTGTCGTCGTCGTCCTAAAGAGAAGTAGAAGGAGTAGGACGACGACGACGACGACGACAACGACGGCGAGCACGAGCACGAGCGCAAGCACGACGACGCCGAGGCGCAACGAGACGACGAGGAGTGGCCGAGAAGAAGAAGAGCAAATTGGTGCTCCCGGTAGCAGGGGTCCATGAACACCGTGGAGGAAACATTGC